GTATGTGTAGACATATGTTTTCATTTGTCCTGGGTTAATAATGTGTGGGGAAAGGTTGGGTTATTTTGCAGGTGTTTAATTCTTTTAATGATTCTTTTTTTATTGTATTTTATTTTGTTTTTGTTGTTAAGAGTATCTTTTCCAAAGTGGCCATACTTTACATTCCCTACAATAATGTAAGAAGATTCCAGTTGCTCCACAATCTTGCATAGACATGCTATTATCAGTATTTTGAATTTTTGACATTCTAAGAGTATACGGCAATATCTCATCATGGTTTTTATTTTCATGCCATTGATGACTAGTGGTGTTCATATCTTGTTTCTGTACTTATTGGCCATCTGTGTGTGTGTGTGTGTGTGTGTGTGTGTGTTGTATACATGAAAATTTCATCCATTATATTGCTTTTTTTTATTGGGTTCTCTTTCTTCTTATTATTGGCTTGTAAGAGTTCTTTATATATTCTGGATACAAGTAGTCTTCTTTCTGGTATGTGTGTTGCAAATATTTTCTCCCAATCTGTGGCTTGTCTTTTCATTTTTTTAATGGTGTCTTTCTGAAAGCAAAAGTTTTTACTTTTGATATTTTGATAAAATCTAATTCATCCATTTTGTTTTGGTTTGTGCTTTTTGTGTTATTTCTAAGAAAACTTTGCCTATCCTAAGGTACAAATATTTTCTTCTAAAAGTTTTCCTGTTTTAAATTTTCTATTTAGTTGTATGACCCATCCTGAGTTAATTTCTTCTGTATTATGATAGAAAAGGTTTTATGTTTATTTCTTTGCATGAGAATGTATAGTAGTTCTGTAACATTTATTGAAAAGACTTTTCTTTCCTCCTCAAATTGCCTTGCACTTTTGTTGAAAACCAATTGACTGAATTGAGACTTGATTTTAAGCTTTGTTTAAGTGGTTCTAGAATGGCCTTTACTATGATCTAATTTATTCCTATTACTAACACACGGCTTTTTTAAGGTCTTTACTGAATGTCCCTCGTGTTCTATGATGTTTTTCCATTCTAGCTAGTTGGAACTCAAACATCTCCCAACCTTGTGTGAGTTCCTTGAATAGTTTAATTTAGAGTTTCCCAGTTGTTTTTCATAGCATTTCACCTTACGCTTGAGCAGCTTAGTCTTCAGCTTACTATGCAAGGGTATCCATATGCATATTTTGGAAGTCCTATGAATTGCAACCTCTTCTTTGGTTCTTTGTTCCACAAATTTTAGCAGCTTCAGCCTCGTCAAACTTCAATTTCACTCTCCTCAGCTCAGTGGACTACTGTGCTCTTCTTGGTTTCTTTTGGTAAAAGGGGAATAATATTGCCTGACCTGATAAGGTTATCAGGGAAATTATGTAAACAAACAAATGGATAATGATGGTTGCCTAGCAAGAGTTTAGAAAGCTGCTATTAATACCATAGTTGCAGTATAAAAAATGGGTAGAATGGAAGGTCTGCTGTTAAAGTCCATATTCCCCTTAGTCTCTAAAATGACCTATCAGTTTAAATAATTTTCACCTCTAAATATCTGTCCCTTTCTCTAAGATTCACTCAGGAATAACAGAACTCTAATATTCTGTAAGAATTAATATGTATTAGCTCATATCACACACATACATCAGCTGAGGACTTTTTTCTTTCTCAGAATTAAAAATTAAAGCACAAAATCCATATTTCTTTTCTATTTTAATAGCACAAAAATCAATGAACATCTGCCTTCAAGAAGAGAAAGGTTGTTGATGGGAGAGTTGTAAGGGGAGTTTGAGGCATTTGAGATCCATTGAATTTGATCCTGGATATGAGAGGTGGGCTCCTTCCTCAGTGATACCACAGCACCTTGTGTCTGTCCCCATCTTAGCCCTCTTTGCCTTGTGTAATTCTCCATTGATTTCCCCGTCTCCCCCAAACCAGCAAAATCTTTTCGGACAGACACTAGTAATTCTAAACCTGCAGAGAGTAAAAGAAATCACCTGTACCAATGACAAAATATCCCCAGCACATACCTTAAATATTTCTGATTCAGAGGATCCTAAGTAGAACCAGCTATAGATATCTTCACATGCATCTGAAGAGGCTCAGTGTATGTGGTCCATAAACCACCACTGGCATAGACTATGCAATTCTCTTACCTGTTCCCCACCACCACCACCAAAACACCCAGAGTGCCTGGAACATAGTATGTACTCAGTGCATATTGATTAAATGAATGAATGAATGAATGAATACATAGATGGGTGGCTGCACTGATAAACGTATTTGAAGAAAAGAGTCTAGCAGGTAAAAAAATGTACAAATGATTAGAATTTGTGTCTCTTTAAAATACAGGCAAAATTTAGATGCATAAAGCAGGGGCATTATTGAAAAAAACTGTCTGGTTTATTTAATTAACAAACCTTCAGGATGAGGAGAAAACCATATGAAACCTGTCCAGGATGTCATTTATTTAACTCTTTAAAACCATCCATCTAGATCCAGAATCCAAAAAGCTAATAGTTGAAAGAATGATAATTCATTCCTTTATTCAGCAAACATTACCTTGAGCCTAAATAAACAGCCCATGATAATAAGCACATTATTCAAAGCTATCTATCTTCTTCACAGATCAAATAAGCCAGATAATTCATTGATTACTTTCTTGCTTCTCTGGGGCTGAATACGCAAGTTAAAAACAGTATATTTTTAATGCGTAGATTCCAAAGAAAGACCCTCTCTCCAAGACTACATTCCCCTGGGGTGTCCCAGCTGTATAAGACCCAGGCATTTTGCTGGTGCATCTGCCATCAGGGACACAGAGCTGCTAAGATCAGGGCTGTCCAAGTAGCTCCAGACCAGCTGCCAGGAAGAGCTCTGTTGCATCTTTCAAGGTTCATGGCCTCTAGACTTTCCCCAATCAGACCTGGGAGAACAACGGTGCCTGATATTCTTCAAAATTTGGCCTGTTTCTCTCTTCTTTAGACTCTGATGGATTCATGAGGAAGGAATTTGGGATTGTTCCAGAACTCTGCCTGTGAATGTGTCTCCTTTGTATTATAGCTGTAAAGATCACTCTTCCTTCTCAGCAAAATCATCTGTTAATCCACTCTATACATATTCCTGGTTCAAATGAAGATTCAGAAGGCATTATGTACAGAAGAAGTGGGTCATAGCACCAGGATAAAGGGTAAGACATAGGGACAGAGACTATGTAATGAGGGCAGTGATCCAACCAGAAGTTACTTTCTGGATACAGAAGAAAGTAAAGTTAGGGTAGGATTAGAGGTTTGCATCTAGAAAAGACAAACTAAGGGTGTAAATCAGCAAAATCTTCCTAAACTGGACTTAAACTAAGAAATAGGATGAAGCTGTGTGAATAGAAGGATAGATACCTACTTTAACAGAAGAAAAATCATGGGCGATGAATTGGAGGTGGCAGAAGAAGAGATAGGAGTAGACAGAAAGGTGGAACAAAAACGGCTGAAGCATCACACACAGTAGAGAGGGCATTGATAGATTAAGTTACTGGGAGGGTGTAAAAGACACAGTGCAAAGCCAAACTCTAAAAATAGAACCCAGGTAATTCAGAAGACAGAAGACAGACCCCTGGACAGAAAAGGTTAGGATATTTGGGATACAGTCTCATCTCTGCTATCAAATGGCTATGCCACTAGATCTTTACATTTTACTTCTTTGGGCTTCATTTTCCTCATTCGTAACATGAGGGAGTTGGGCTACATACTAACAGCTAACATTTATTGAATGCTCACTATGCGTCAAGAATTTTGGGGGGAGCATTTGGTACTCACAAAAACCCTATAATTTGTCATACTATTATTGCCATTTCAGAGATGAAAAACTGAGGCACAAAGAAGTGAGTTCTCCAAAGCTATATAGCAGCAGAGCCACGGCTCCAGCCTAAGCTGTCTGGCTCCAGAGACTGCATCCTTCCCAGTCTCATCCTGCTGCCATTCCAGCAAATGATCCCAGAACAAACTGACAGAGAAGTAAATGATAACAGTAATCACAGCCATTTAGAGCTACTCAGGGAAGCCTTTCAGAAGATAAATGTTTAGCTGGAATTTTTTGTAGGAGAGAGAAATATTAACTGGTAGTAAGGAATAAAGAATAGCAGGCAAAGGAAACTTAATACTACGTGTAGAGGCAGAGAGACAGAAATGAGTTATGTGTAATAGCTGGGTACCAGCCAGCTTGCCTACAGCTGCAGGATGGGGGTATGATCTGATGCTCAGTAACACCAAAAATGGTGATTAAGAAAGGATTCTAGAAACCATGTTGTATGGATTGAATTGTGTTCCCCAAAAACATATGTTGTAATCCCTAACCTCTATGCCTATGGTTTGTGAGCCCCGGTGGCACAGTGGTTAAAGCGCTCAGCTGCTAACAGAAAGGTCAGCGGTTTGAACCCACCAGCAGCTCCATAGGAGAAAGATGTCACAGCCTGCTTCCATAAAGATTACAGCCTTGGAAAAGCTACAGGACAGTTCTACTCTATCATATAGGGCAGCTGTGAGTCAGAATTGACTCCATGGCAATAGGTAGGTTTTTTATGCCTGTGATTATAATCCCATTTGAGAATGGGTTGTCTTTGTTATGTTAATTAGACAAAATTAGTATAGAGTGTATCTTGAGTCAATCTCTTTTGAGATATAAAAGAGATTAAACAAGCAAGCTAAGAAGCAGAGATGAGGGAAGAGAGATGCCAAGCCACATGAAGATCGCCCAGGAGCAGAAGCTCAAAGAGGCAAGGACCTTCCTCCAGAGCTGACAGAGAAAGAAAGCCTGCTCCTAGAACTGGCACCCTTAATTTGAACTTCTAGCCTCCTAAACTGTGAGAAAATAAATTTCTGTTTCTTAAAGCCACCCACTTGGTATCTCTGTTATACAGCACTGGGTAACTAAGACAGAATTTGGTACAGGAAGAGTGGGGTGCTGCTCTAACAGATACCCAAAATATGGAAGCAGTTTTGGAATTGGGTAATGGGTAGAAGCTGGAAGAGTTTTAAAGTGCCTAATAGTAAAAGCCTAGATAGCCTTGGAGAGCTATGGAGAAAGTTTCCTTTATCTTAGAGAATACATATGGCACCAGCAACAGAGTATTGCTTGAAATGTGGATGTTAAATGTATTTGTTATAACAGCGCTAGATAACCAAGACACATATCATGAGAAATAATTGAAGGAATGGAGAATATTAGTGAAGAATAAAAGAAGACCCATAAAGGGACAATGATTGTTTTATTCAAATAACTAAAAGACTGTCATTTATAAAAAGGAATTGAACTTCTTGTAACAATGGATGACAAGTAGAGGACAATGGGTATGGATGTATCAAGGAGGCATAATTCAGCTAAGCATAAGAAAGTTCTAAACAAATAAGCCATCTAGAAAGAGAACAAGCTGTTTGGTTGACTACAGAGACTGTACCATACTTGTCCAGATTGCTTTAAAGAGGTTCACAGAACTGGGTGCAGATTGGCTTAGAAGATTCCTGAGCTTTTCTCCAATACAAAGATTGTCTGATTCTCTATGGCTGGTATAAATGTTTTATCATTATGTGATCTCCAAATCAAATTAAAGCTCTTCCCACAGATAATGGTGAGAGTTTTTTCTGAGAACAGTTAGAGACAACAGGGATTGAGGCAGAGATCAGAAGAGTGGGGGGTCTCAGCCCCAGCTTTGCCATGTCCGGAGGGTGATTTGAGCTTTTATTGAGTTCTTCGTCCCAGAATTCCATGCACTCATAATGAAGGAAAACCCTGTATGTGAGATCATTCTAAGCCCATTCCAAAGTCTCCATAATCAATCATGGGTAAATAGAATTTGAATAATTTTTAAATGAAATTACTTTATTAACATCTAAACAAGCAACATTTGAGTCAGAGCTATGAAGGGGTGTACAGACATCCCTTTCATTTGTTTTCATTGTTGTTGAATCAAATTTTCATATCATAACTTTAAAGATAAGTGATTTACAAGGACTGTCCTTCTCATGTGGGTTAAGCAAATGGTTTAATCTTTTTGAGCCTCAGTTTCTTCTTCCATAAAACAACAGGATTTGATGAGACGAGCTCTAAATCACCTCTTGATTTAACACACTGTGAACCTTCTATGCACTTACGAATACAAAGAATGGAAACAACTTACAGAAATAAAGATAATTTTTTTGTTGTTGTTTCTTTGATTTTGGGGATTACTTATGCCACTGCTACCTATACCTCCTGATTTCTCCCATGACGCTATCAATGAACTTAAGTTTCTTTGTGGCTCATTTTTTTCAGACTAGTATTATCAGCTTTGTACAGAAATATAAATTGGGTTTCTTTGGGGTCATTTCATTTTTGTCAAATACTCTCTGCTCTCAATTTCAGATTGTCCGAATCTGATTCTCACTGACCAATGAAGAGACAAAACCAAAGCATGACCACCGAGTTCATCCTTATAGGCTTCTCAAACCTGGGGAATCTGCAGATCCTTCTATTCTTTATCTTCTTGTTGGTCTACCTGACCACTTTGACAGCCAATGCCACCATCATGACAGTCATTCACCTGGACCGGGCTTTGCACATCCCCATGTACTTCTTCCTCTTTGTCCTCTCCTGCTCTGAAACCTGTTACACCTTGGTCATTGTACCCAAAATGCTGACCAACCTGCTTTCCACAAATCCAAGTATTTCTTTCTCTGGATGTGCTGCCCAACTCTACTTCTTTGTGGGCTTGGCTTGTACCAACTGTTTTCTCATTGCTGTGATGGGCTATGATCGGTACGTTGCCATCTGCAACCCTCTCAACTATATGCTCATTGTCAGTAGAACCACCTGCATGCAGTTGGTTTTAGCCTCAAGCTTCTGTGGTTTCCTGATCTCTGTGGTTGTCAATGTCCTGGTGTTCAGTGTGCCCTTCTGTGCCTCCAATCGGATCAACCACTTTTTCTGTGACATTTCCGCTGTCATCAGATTGGGCTGTACAGACACCAACCTAAAGGAGATGGTCATCTTCTTCCTCAGCATTCTGGTATTGCTGTTTCCCTTTGTGCTAATCTTCATCTCCTATGTCTTCATTGTTTCCACCATCCTGAAGATCTCCTCAGTGGAGGGACAGAAAAAGGCTTTTGCCACCTGTGCCTCCCATCTCACAGTGGTCATTGTCCACTATGGCTGTGCTTCCTTTGTCTACTTGAGGCCCACATCCCTGTACTCCTTAGACAAGGACCGGCTGGTGGCAGTGACCTACACTGTGATCACCCCACTACTCAACCCTCTTGTCTACACACTGAGAAATAAAGAAGTGAAAACAGCTCTGAGGAAGGTCCTGAATAGATACTCATTTCCAAAAACCGTATGAGTACGTTAATAATTTAGGGAAGTTATATTTATAAAAATGTCCCAGGTAGAACTTCAATTCTATAATCAGATCAATTCTTTTTTCTAGGTCTCCTTAAAAAAATAAAAAAAGAATAAGGACTTCAAGTAAACTTGATTCTTTTCACTGGAAAATTCTTCCTCAGGTTTAGCTTATATCCAATATACTAATGTATAGGTTGTACCAATTAGTCTCCAGAAAGTCAGGTGAACATGGAAATTTTCAAAGACTCAAGCCATTGCTATTTTCATATCCTATGAACGTCAGTTTTCTCAGATCAACACTTCAAGTACTGTGCTGTCTTTTTGTGAGTACCCACCCTGTTGATGCCCATCCTACATTGAAGGAAACAGTGGAGACTATTGTTTTAAATCTCTGAATGCTTGTATATATATTTTGAGGTTTAAAGGAAACATTCACAATAAGTTGATTATTTCTAGACAAAATAAGAATTCACTGATGAATAGATAAGAAGGGAATTAAAGTTCTAGGACACCGGTAGTAGAGTAGAAAACACAGACTTTGGAGTCACAAAGATCTGAGTTTGAACTTCGATTCAGATAATTTTCCACTTAAGTAACTTGGGTCAGGTTTGAACTCTTTTATTATCAGTTATAAAGAAATTCAGTGCTTGTCTGATAGAAAGCATTAAAAAATATTAGTTTTCCCTCATATCCCCCTCATTGTCCTTCCTTTATAAACTAGGATTGGACTTGATGTCAGAAACAGTGAAAGAGTAAGTTGACTGTAAAAGAACCCTGAGTTCTGTTTACTTATCAGCTACTATATGCAAAGCCTTGAACTAGGTGCTGTAGAGAATACAGTGAAGAGTACACAGTTCTCTCTTTCCTCCATGTCTCACTATAAGAAATG